TAAATAAACAAACAAACAAACAGTATCACCCCCGCTTTGCATGCAGGGGTCATAAATAACATTTTTGATGCTTTTCTAATATACAGAGATGTACCTGTAAACCAAAATTCAAACTCTTTAAACTTTTTCTTACTTTTTACAGTCGGAAGCTGCTTCTGTCACGTTAAAACAATTCATCATAATTACAATGAATTAGGTTCAAACTGTTTCTTGATATTTTATTTAGCATCACGAGGTCAAATAATAATCATACAATACATTTTAATTAAAGGCACTTTTCATGGCATTCAAGGATACTTAAATATTAAATATTAAATTTCCCTTTACGTACCTTAGTATTCCATAATAATGAAACACTTCTGACCTATTGGAGTATTTTCTCCACATTGTGCAGATCTGTTAGTGAATGATGCAGCCTGATTTTGCACATGCTACAGATGGATGCTGCATGTGAACATCTGCCACACCAATACATTTCACAGACACAACGTCACTGATGTCACACAAAAAAGCCTTACCCAATTTTCCTGCAACACAGCAGCAGAAAGACAAGCAGAGAGAGGTAATCAGACTCTTTCTTTAAAAAAATAAAATTAAAAAAAACTTAGATCTAGCAACAACTCTGAGATTAAAAACCTGAAATAAATTCTGTAAACTTGTCAGTTTATTCAGGAGCAATAGAGCGCAGATTTAGTTTGAGATTAGAGGATGAAAACAAGCATTAATTATGATGATCATGCTTCACTGTGTGCTTTTGTGTGTCCACCTCTTCTGAGCGTGTCCGTTGGATTGTTGGTCAGACGGCAGCTCGATGATGAGCACGCAGGACTGAGCATGCTCAAAGCCGTCCTTGTTGTTGGGCGTCTTTGGAGAGCACTGGGTGTCCAACATAAACACCTGGGACAAAAATAAAAAAAGAGGAAAATGGCAAAATGGTCAATTTTCTTGGTCATTAAAAGAGAAAAGAAGCAGTTAATTTCATCAAACTGAAAACCGACTGACCTGCTGGGCCATGGCTTTGACCCTCCAGTACTCTGCTTCAGCTAATGGAGAGTGAGGGGGGGCCGCCACCTTCACCTCACAGGCATCTCCAGAGAAACTGTCTGAGCCGCTGTGAAAACACACTAAAAGGTTCTACAAGAGGAAAACAAAAAGAAACTACTTTAGCACTAATTTTGTTAAATTGTACTTAAACCATGTGTCTTAATTTCCAATACTAATGACTATTACAGTATCGATTTGGTTTGTTTTTACTTTATCACATTTCTTTCATGGTAGAGTTTATCTCAAAGACAAAACAACTTAATACATTTTACAGACACTGAGCTTAAGTTAGTGTGGTAGTTACAGAGAGTCATACTCAACATATTCATGAGATCTTTGTTTAACACTTTGGCAGGTTGAGTGATAAATGATATGCAGTGGTGGGCAGCATTAATCTAAAAATTAGTTCCACTAGCCCTAAAAAACTAACTCAAATATTTAGGTCCCCTAATTCTAAAGCACTAAATGCATTGAAAGTTTTAGCAAAAGCTAATTCTAAAGCACTAAATGCACTGAAAATGTTAGCAAAAGCTAATTCTAAAGCACTAAAATAACCCAGTCAACACACGAACATTCTTCAACAGACAACATGAGTCACATACTGACATGTTGCTCTCTTAACACTTAGCATTGACATCCCACAGCTGTATTTGAGTTCATATATTGTCACCTAGCGGATAAGTGACACGTATGAACAAAATGTGTGACAGCTTTAACCCTCAGCTGTTAACAATAATGTTGATTAATAACATTTATCACCTAACTACCTCAGTTAGTGCTTCTAAATTTAGCCTGTAAATTTACCAAATGCTAATCCACTAATAAATTTTAAAATTAGCAAAATCCCTAAAGCACTAATCAGGAAATTAGTTCCCCTATTTGTGCTTTAGGGGAACTGTGCCCACCAGTGATGATATGCATTCCCTCAAAGATTGTTGCTTTTAACTCTGCTGTCAGTGATAATAATCTGCAGCTTTTCTCAGTTCAAATTAGGATTATATTGGTTTAGATAATGTTTGGAATACAGTAAGGCGGATAATTGATGGTAAGTTTTGGTGAGAGGTGTTAAAGGTCAAATGATTTGGCTGCTTTATGACATCAAATAGATATGTAAATATTAAGTTCTCCAATAGTTATAGTTTTTTAAAGTTCGTGGGATATTTCACATGATTGTGCCCAGCATTGTTTTATTGACCAAAAATAATTTTTCTGCTGCTCTCTTCTGTAGGAATCGATACAGAGAGCAAAACTCACAAGGAACATTTGACTGTTTTACATCTGTTACCCTTCAACAATAAAAAATAGACAGAAGTTATAAATACAGAAAAAGACAAGCAGCACCATATTCATATATTTGTGTACAAATTATACATGACTGTGATGTTAGACACCATTTTAATTTGTGGTTGGCAGGGAAGCTCATAGAAGGCTTCAGTGATTTACTCAAAGTATTATCGATTAAAGCAGCGCACATTTTGGATCAGATGTCACCTGAATGACTCGGCTGTAAACAAAAGCAGCTTTTCTATAAACCCATTCAGAAGGTCACATGTTCATTTGCCTGAAGCATTAGCTACATGTTAGAGATTTAAGCTGTAGATGACAGACTGACAACAACGTTCAAACATGAAACATTTGTTACAAGTATATTATCACATTAGCTTGTATGAATGTACATAATTCCATTAAGGAAGCACAGATATTGGTCAACATTAGGCTGAAACTATAAGATTTTACACATTGTTCCTGGGAGAGGATGGAAGAAAATACTTTACTTGATTTAGCTGTTCTGGGTTTTTTGATGTTTTTTCTATTTTTATGTAGTTCTTTGTTTTATTGTACTTTCACTGTCACCAACTATCCACCATTAAATCTTATTTCTCCACACACTTTCACTAGTAATCAACACACCTGTTGCCACCCACCAATTAATCCTCCTTGTAGGCATAATACTTGTTTTTTTCCTACTGCAAAAAGTACTGTTTTTCTTCAACGTCCCTCTCTATCAAGATTGAGCACATTTTCTTCCCTGAATGAGTGACCACTGGCCTGTAGATGAGTGTAAACTGCAGAGTCCTGGCCTGAAGATGAGTGTAAACTGCAGAGTCCTGGCCTGAAGATGAGTGTAAACTGCAGAGTCCTGGCCTGTAGATGAGTGTAAACTGCAGTCCTGGCCTGTAGATGAGTGTAAACTGCAGTCCTGGCCTGTAGATGAGTGTAAACTGCAGTCCNGCCTGTAGATGAGTGTAAACTGCAGTCCTGGCCTGTAGATGAGTGTAAACTGCAGTCCTGGCCTGTAGATGAGTGTAAACTGCAGTCCTGGCCTGAAGATGTTCTTCTGTGCTGGCTCATTCTTTTGAACAGTGGCTGTTTTGTTTCCCCGATGTTTAACTGATCACAGTCCTCCTGACACTTAACAGCATACACAATATTACTCTGTTTGTGCCGGGGGACCAGATATTTGGGGTGAAAAAGTCTTTGCTGTAATGTGTTTTGGGGTTTGAAAGCCACTGGGGCATCATGTTTAGAGAATAAACTACTTTCCTTTTAGTAGAGATTATGAAATCACTCCAGATTTCATGTTCTTAAATTATTCCATAATATTTAAATAGCTTTTCACAAACAGGTAAACCTCTGCCCAGCTTAAATTTTTTAAAGATTCAGTCTTTCTAGAAAGTCATTTTTAGACCCAGTCATACTGACAGGATGCTATTAAACCTAAATATTTGCAAAAAGCTCCTCAAGATGCTTCATATTTATCCTACTTGTTTTAACAGCCTTTTCTTGCCCCTTGTCCAACCTTTGAGGTGTGTTGCTGCCATACAATTCAAAATGACATTATTTTTAAAAAATATATTTTATCTTTTCTCAGTTTAAAATTTTGATATGTTTATTATGTTCATTGCAAAAAAATAGGTTTATAAGATTTGAAAATCATTGCATTCAGTTCTGTTTGCATTTTGCACAAGGTGCCAACTTTTGTTGAAATCGGGGTTGTAGCAAAATGTAGTGAACATTTTTGATAAAATGTACCAGAGTTAATTAAAACTGTAAAGTATATCATTTAAGTAAATTTGCAGGATTTCATAGTTTAAACCAATGATGATCTGTTACATAAATAATCCTTAAACCTGAACACTACAAGCAGAAAGTTCATTTGCTACATACAGAATGTTGCATGTTGTATGTCATGTTAAGCATATTTGGAACATGTGAGCTACAGTATGTTTAGATGGATGCTTTACCAGAAAAGTCAGTGGTAAAGAAAACCAGCTGCATTTTTTCTAATAATTTTATCTAGGTTTTTTAAGTAAATGCTTTGTGAAAACAAAATCACTTAAAGTGTTGAGATTCCTGGAAACAAAGAAAACCTGTCAGTGGCTGCAGGATCATCATTCTTATCATCTCTTTCTGTGCGCCACACATGCCTACACACGCACACGCACGCACACACGCACACACGCACACACGCACACACACACACACACACACACACAC